CAACAATTTTTATTATTAAAATTACCCGTGCCAAGCAACATAACACTATTACTGCCAAGAATTAATTCTAAGACTTTAGACTTAGCATCCTCCCTCAGGACCAATCAAATTACCCGTACATCTATAATGGTAGTTTTTAAAATTACCTGTGCTAATGCTTATTGACTTATTGTTGATAAATAGTTTTTAACTTATAAGTTGTTTATAAGTCAAATATTTTTGTATGGAAGTAAAATGACTTAAATGATACTCTCTCCGTTCCTAAAACATTACTCTTAATGCAAAACGAAGTAAAATTCCAAGTTTTTTCAATTTATTTTATTTTAAGATTGGTATATAAACAAATTATAAAACTTACATATTTAAAAAGTACATTAAATGTTCTACAAAATAAGACGTGACAAGAATATTTTATTTCATCAAATAGACAATGAAAACACACAAATAAACAAAAGTTCTCGCGATTTTTAAATAATAAAGTGTGTAATTTATTTAAGAACATAGGGAACATATAAATCATTTATAAATATTCATAAATTATGAGAGATAGATTTTTTAAATAATCTGGTCAAAATGGAGAAACGAAAAAAGTAGCTTAAAAATAAGTGGCTAAGACGTACTTATTTTTTCTCGCTTAAAATTTAAGCAGCTTATAAGTCAGCTTATAAGCATATAAAAACATGTTATCAACTGACTTATAAGTTAAAAACTACTTATGAGCATTTTTGACCGGCTTATAAGCACAGAGAAACACCCACATAGTCTAGAGAGAGATGAGTGTTAAGTTCGAGGTCTCATGATTGATTTCAAGAATATCAAGGTTTTAACCAACGCAATAACTTCTTGTATGCACCGGATATATAGGATACGAGTAATATAATATTTCTAAAGATCGACTAGGCTACTCATAAGCGTTGCACAGTTGACAAAGGCAAAAAGTGTCAAAGGGGTAAGATTTTGATTGATTCTTGTCAACTATGCTATGTATAGGGTTCTGCAAATATCATGTACAAACTTCATTTTTTACCACCAAAATACGATCAAAGTTCAATTTACTTTTTTGCAGTGACCCTCTGATCGGATCTAAGAGAGTCATCGGGAATGGGGTACACCCTTTTTTTCTTTAAAGACTCGGCTCACATTATATGTTGATTGGATAAAGCTAAGCTATTTGTACCCCAAGGGTTTGTACTCATTTATACACCGCAAGTGTGTACCAACATTTTGTGTTGATTTAATGCTAATTTTTGTTAATGTACTAATACTTTGTGTCAGTAAATTTTTTTTAATACATCAACAATTTGTATTAATGTGAACCATCAAAATGTTGGTGTATATGTTTAGCGTTTCAATATAATACTCCGTAGCACCCATTATTATCCCGCAGATATTAAAGAGTAGTAGTTGGTGCAGCCGTGCAGGGGAGGCCTATAGAGGCCTATAGGTGTGATGTAATTTGATTCATGGATTAGTGGGAAAGCTCTCTCCCTACACTTCTCATCCCAACGCTTCTTTTTTTAAAAAAAGAACTGTATATTGATTTATAATTTTACGATTTTTTAAACATAAATAATCTTTAAAGAGTATTAAACTTTGAAAATTACAAAACTTACCCAACTTTTAATTCCATCATATTATAGAAATTCATATACATCTAACATCTATTCTTTGCAATAACTCCTTGTGCGCGCCGGTCATGAGACAGCCTTTCTAAAAATTAGATTAAAATTGTACCACAATCTGCCTTCTTCACTATCCTGTCGGGTCAGAGTGTGAGGACACCCGGGATGGACGCTCCAACGTTTTCATATGAACATTTCAAAAAAAAATAGTACTATTAAAAAATATACAGTATATACCCCCCAATCGGATATCCTCCCAATATCGACATGGACAGGTGTTGTTAAAAAAATAAAAATGAGTCGGTGGATGTTGCGTAGATGGCAAGGCAAAGGGTGCCAAGGGGGTAACTATGCTAAGCATAGGACCTTTGCAAGTACCATGTGCAGGCTATATTCTTTGCCACCAATTTACGACTAAAGTCTAATTTACCTTCTCTCAATGACCATTCGACCGGATTTGAGAGGGCTCTCCGGATGAGGCTTATTCTTTTTTTAAAAAAAAAAATAAAAATGATGCCAAAGTTAGATTCCCAAAACATAAATTCGCATTGTTTTAGGGAGAGAGAGAGATGGAGTAACTGTGACGTTTGAGAGGTAGAGGTCTGTTGATTGATAAGAGTGTGTCTTAGTCAGTGGATTGAAAGGGTAGTTTTGGCAACAAATTGACTTTATGTAGCCCCATGTTTTAAGGGTAACCACATGTGTCGTGTTGAGCTATTTAGGCATCTCATTTCGCACAGCTGCAAAATTGACTTTTGAGATTAGGTCACGTCACTGTTCACTACTCCCCAATTAGGACTGATCTTTTAACTCCAATTATTCACAAAAAAAAAATAAAAACAAAGGAGAGCCTCATCTCTAAGGGCTTTCTGAGACCCAACCGGATGGTCAATGAAAGAAAATAAATTAGACTTTAATTATAAATTATAGAATTCATCCTAAATAGGACTAAAACATAGATAAAAGTACCAAAATAAGACTTTCATGTTTTTTTTTCCGGAATAGGACTTTGCATTGTGGTAATGTGACTTTGCATTGTGGTAATGTGACAGTGTACATGTGCAAATTACTAAACTTTCTTGGTAATGTATATGACCATGTTTGGTAATGTAAGTCTTATTTCGGGAATAAAAACATGGAAGTCTTATTTGTGCTGATACATTTGTCCTATTACATTGGTCTTTCTCCCTAAAAATTGATGGCAAAGAGTAGAGCATGCATTTGGTACTTGCAGACGTTTTATGGTTATCATAGTGTTCTTCCTACGCAGTTGTACCGAATCAAATTCGAGTCTTATCTCCTTGACACTTTTTTCTTTGCCAACTATGCAACGCTTAGTGACAAACTTCAAATACTCTTCAAAGTTTCCTAAAAAAAGGGATGGACTTTTTAAAAAAACACCATAACTAGGACTAAAACATTGATAAAGTACAAAAATAAGATTTCCATGTTTTTATTCTCTGAATAAGAGCTTACATTGTAATAATGTGCCACTATGCATATAAATTTTATAATATCTTTTGGTAATGTATATGGTCATAATTGACATAGAAATTACCCTAAATAGTACTAAAACATTGAAAAAAGTATCAAAATAGGACTTTCATATTTTTTTTCCAAAATAAGACTTTGCATTGTAGTAATGTGGCACTGTACATGTGCAGATTACCATACTCTTTTGGTAATTTACATGACCAAGTTTGGTAATGTAATTCCTATTTCGTGAATACAAACATGGAAGTCTTATTTTGATATATTTTCAATGTTTTAGTCTTACTTTAGTCTTTTTTAATCTTTTAAAATCATAGAACTTCTATTTTAGTATATTTTTAATGTTTTATTCCTACTTTAGTAGTTTTCCCATAAACTTTCTTTCATTACATCGGAAGGTTTGAGACCGGCAAGGACATCGAGGTGACCTAGAGCTCGGTCGTGATTTAGAACACCGGCCTCGATCAAGAGTTAGGAAGTTCGACGTCTCCTCCCCAACTTTCCCAATTCTTCTTCCTCCCTCTCTCTTCCTTCTCCCTCTATTCTATCTCTACGATCGGCATCAAAGGTGGAGGGTGTGTGGGGTGGTCGTCAATGGCCAATTCGACACCAAGCATCCAAATTTTAGTTCAAATTTACTCCACATTTAAGAATATCACACTCAAAACTTCAAAATCTAAATTTTAATCTTCACAATAAAGCTTCTAAATAAAGAAAGGGTCAATACAATTCTCTCATTGTGACTAGGGAGTAATTAGTCATTGAATACTTAGAATATGTTTGGGAACAATTTCAATATTTCAAAAATGTTGTCTAACAATAACATTTAATTTAAGCATTTTCAAACTTAATCTGTATCGTTAAAAAGTTATTCAAAACACTAAAGTTAATTGAAAACGTTGTTCCCAAATAATGATTTAATGCTCATTGGCATGGAGGAAAGAACATTGCTAGCATTTGTTAGGTTTAATTCGTATACATACTATACATTCGTAATTATAAATTGAAAATATTTAAACTTTTTTAAAACGTTCTTAGGATCCAATTCATAAAAACCGACTACCACTACCTCCCTTCCAAAATGAGGTTGCTTTTAAATAAATTTATTGGAAAAATCAGTGTGGAATCAAAATATAAGATTTATATATTATAAAACTATATAAAAATTTCTACGAAACAAGAAATAGAACGATTATATGGAATAATATGTTATCAAATGTGTGACGAATATACACAAAAAAAATGATAAAGTTTGATCTTGAATAATGAAGGGAAACTTAATCTTGAAACAAAGGATATAGCAAAATACTCTTTTTGAGTGTTTTAATATTAGGGATTAGAATTAGTTTTCAAAAACAAGAAACAAGGAAAAGAGCAAATGCCAACATTTTCCATACAACAGGAAAGCATATAGAGCTAAGAGAATCTTACTCGACTCAAAAATCATGTTTTAAAGATGTTTAAGGGCATAGCTTAATCGGCAAAGACTTGGAACCCGGATATAACCCATGGAGAGTCCTAATAGTAAAGTTGGATATGAATATCGATATCGCTGGATGAGACAATTTCATAGCATGGAAAATCTTAGGGAGGGGAACATATGAAATACTCATGTGTTTAAGACTCAAACTAAGTTTGTAGTAACAGCAAAGTTTGACGATTATCGTCTCTAAGAATAGGAGAAAATCATCAACTCGAGAGGCTTGACATTGATATGTGCAAAAGTTTTGTCACGAATGGTACGTACTTGCTCGTGAACACGTTTTTGAAGTGGGGATGGGTTGAAGGCTTGAAGGAATGCAAGAGCTGGATAATAAAGCATTCTCTTTCACCATGAATAGATTATGCATGTAGTTGGATTCTAATCCTTGATATCCCTCAACATACCATCAAGCCACCCTATCATTGTTGTTGGGATCGAGTTTGAGGCAGTTGTCGCCTCGTGTGATTGAGTCATTTGACTTCGATTCTGAAATCTAATCCTTTAAAATAGAATCGTTTGCTTATGCTGCTTCTAGAATCTGATTTTTAGAAGTAATCATTAATCAAATGCTTAATTTAATTATCTAGAATCGGCTAATTTCGGAGCAGTTGATTATGAGAAGAGAATTAAATCAACCCAAAAAAGAAAAGTGATGCCAAATAAACCCTGAGTCAGAGCCTCATCCCCGAGGGCCCCCTCAGACCACCTGGACGGACGGTCACTGAGAGGAGGTAAATTAGACTTTAATCGCAAATTGGTGGCAAGGAGTGAAGCCCGTACCTGGTACTTGCAAAGGCCATATACTTAGCATAGTTTTTCCTAGCATAGTTGTCAGAAATCGAACTCGAGTCTACCCCCTTAGCACTCCCTGCCTTTGCCAATTGTGCAATGCCCACCGACGAAGGTCTAGTTTCCAATTTCTTTGTGTAGTGAATAAAGATGGATAGTAGTGTGGGCTATGAAATCATTGTTCCACTGTGTTTCTAGAGATATGAGCTAGCTAGACATGATTCTGCAAGTGGAAGATGATAAGGGCGCTTGTCTATGATGGCTTGTTTGGCAGTCATTTCTACCAGGCAAAATGGATTAGAAGTCTAACACCAATGATGTGCACATCCTAAATAAAAAAATAAAACGTGTAGGCTTGAGATTTTAACCTTCTTTTATTATGTACCAAAAACAAAACATGGATCCCACCATTTGGAGTGATCTTGAGCCATGTGTTAGTTAGAAGGTCCAGTCACTTGTACCAGTAACTCTTCTTCTTTTTAAATCCTTCTTGCATTCTCATTTCTTCAATCTAACAAAATCCCATAGCAACATTATCATTTATCAGAATGGAACACAATCAAAATTTAGAATTACAAAAAAGCCCATTATCCTTTTTATTCCATTACATAGAAACTGGAAGAAGAAGAAAAGAAGGCGATCAAAACTGCAATTTTCATACCTAATCGTCAATTCTTTGAGCATGAAATGAATTGTGTTGGCTGGTTGAAGTCAAACAGCTCTATGAATCGCAAGTCTGAGACCCTAGCCTTTTCGGCAGCATGCCTCTGGTACTCGTCAAAAATGGACGTGAGGCACCATCGCTGTATCTTTCTCAAGCACCCCACCACACAACCTGTACGGTGCTGCAGCACAACAGAAATGGCAGGGGTAATCATGTCATCTTACGAATCAAGTACCAAATCACATTAATATCAGCAGAAGAAGAATGCATACCTTTCCCCTTTTACAATGAATAAGCAGCGGATGATTCTTTTCATCTACATGGGTAACACGAGAAATCGTGAGGAAATCTATCTAGTGAACAAGAAAATGCTATGGACCCTCAGATTATTACCAAGGACGACTTTTAGTGCTTCCCGTATCATATCCACTGGAATGTTTACAAATGGCTCCTGAACATTAAACAGTTAACACCTCTTAATTTACATAATTTCAGAATACAACAGCAAAATTTTTAGTTAGGTGAGAATAAACAAATTTGGAGGATTAAATCAGTTAGGGGCCAGGAACTCCTAGCATCAAGCTGCAGTTGATGAAAATGGTGGAGTTCTTTTATGGTTTCAGCATAGGAAGGCAATCTGCATGCCATTACTAAAATATGAGGAGGAAAAGGGATTGTGCAAATAAAGCTATGGCACATTACAGTTCAAAAATTGAACCATGCCAATGCTATGAATGAGTGAAATGGAAATGCATGAAACCGCAACTGCACTTTTGTTAGAATATAAATAACTGTTCTTGGGCCACAACCATAAGCTTGAACTTTTGGTTGAGTTGGTTCCATGACATGGTATCAGAGCCTCGTTGACTAAGAGGTCACGAGTTCGAAACTCAGTGCCACCCAGTTAAAAAAAAATTAAGGTTTCACGTGCAAGGCTTGAAAAAGACTACGCCTGCACGTGAGGGGGCGTGTTAGAATATAAATAACTGTTCCTGGGCCACAACCATAAGCTTGAGCTTTTGGTTGAGTTGGTTCCATGACAACTTTCAACATTTTGATTTTCAAAGAAATGACAGTTAGTTAATGGAACTTATACACTATGTTTGGTTCAAGGATTTTGAGAGGGAAAAGAAAAGAAAATGACATGAAAAACCACTTTTCATGTTTGGTTAGGGAGGAAAAGAAAATGATGAACTAAAATAAGCTAAGAAGAGTGAAACATGATTCCTTTCATTTTGGTGAGGAAAAGAAGAGAAATCATTTTCTTTTCCTTCCTAATTCCTTGAGCCAAACATACTAATAATGCAAATTTGCACTCTTTACTACTTAGTGCTCCCGGCATCCAGTTATTACTTACCAAACGAAGAACGTCAACCAGAGTCCCCAAGACCCCAAATTAGAACTTCCTAATAATGATTTCTCAGCAAATACTCGAATTGCATAATAATTATCGGCAAATCACCCTCATTTTGCTCAAGGAAACTAAGGCCCTGTTTGGCACCTTCATCATTCTTAGATGTTTAAAAAGTTCTTTTAAGAAGCTTGAAAGAAAAATCTTTTCATAAACCAAGCTTGAAGAGCAATTGCTCCAAAAAAGACACGAAAACTACTCCATAGTTTTTTAAAGCCAAAAATCGCTTTATCAAATACGGAGTACTCCATAGTTCCATACTTCTAAAAGTTGTCCTTTAGCCAAGAAGTATTTTTTCAAAAAATAAAAAAAGAAACCCATCCTAGTGTCCCCTTAGGCCCGGCAAGTTACGTGAGATGCAGGGCCGGCCCAGGGGTGGGCTGAGCAGCCCTATCGGACCGGGCCCATTCATTTTAGGGACCCAATGTTCTGCTTAAATTATATAGCCCATATTTGGTTTCTTCTATTTCTGAAAAAATGAAATGGTAAAGATGGGGTTTGAACCCATACTCCTTTGGGTGGGTGATAGCTTGGAGCTAAGCCACTTGATCTACTGAATCACTTGCTCCTAATTCACGCATAAACAAATATATTCCCATATTGATTTCAACTACACAGTTTGAATTCAAAACCTTTATTGATTCAATTCACTCCGTATTAGCATATTGTTTAGAAAACTAACCAGTAAATTAATGATTGGTAATATGCTACCAATTAATGATTCACTAATTATTTTTTTGTTTGAGTTTTGAAACTGTGTGGCTTATTATTATTTTTAAAAAAAGAATATTGAATCACTGATTCACAAAATAAGTTTATACTCGCTACGGAGTATAATTTAATTGGTTGGGGTTAAGGGCCCTTTTTTTGGTCTCGTGCCGGGCCATACAATTCTCGGGGCCGGCCCTGGTGAGATGAGATAAATGAAGCTTTAATCCCAACCAACTAATAGGGAATACGATTTCCATTTCCAGGCAAGGATGCTATGGTAAGCATAAATATCTCACACTCCTTCCAAGTTGGAAAAGTTGAGCTAGACAGAGGAAGAACATGTCAAGCACCTTCTTAAGTCTTAATGGGGCTCTAGGATCACATCACTAAACATCCAAACCAACTTGTAGATTGCATCAACAAAGATAACAGGTTCAAAACTAAGACTCAAAGAGTAACAGAATCATCTCAACTTCTCAGCAAAAGGTGATTGAATCACATGATATTTATCATAAAACATATTGACTTGAAGCAAAAGTTAGTTTAGCAGAGCTATAGGCCTGCAGAAACAAGATCAAACCTTTGATCCTTCGATGCCGAACTGGAAAAGCTGAATCCCATTCGAACTGAGGAACTCCAGATTCGCCTCAGGATACGGTTCAGGACACAAACATCTACCCAAAAACAATCAAAATCATCAGAGAGAAAAAAAAACAAAATCAGAAGCAGCAAAAACAACAATAACCTCCAGACGGCATAAACAACCTACATAATAGAGCGGAGGCCTAGGGTTTGCAGGAACGGGAAGTTGGAAGGATCGGGGAATCCGGAACGGAAGACGCCGTAATCCACCATGGCGAAATTCAGCGGCGGCACTAAGAGTCCCTCGTCGGCGCCGTCAACCTCGGCTGCGGGCGAAGTCTCCCCGGCGGGGCCGGAGGCGGCGATCGCGTTACACATGGGCGGCTCGGGATTCTCCAGCCTCATTGCGTTGGCGCCAATCAGAGAAGCTGGCATTGACTACTGGTTTGCTGCGGGCGTATATTCATCGGGAATGGAACTGTACGCGTACGGTATTAGCATCTCTACGTATGTGTATAAACTATAAAGTGGGGGGCGGTTTTATTCTTGGGAATCTCCCAACATTCCACATGGTAGGACATTTTTACCCCCAAAATGCTATAATTCCATTAGTTTTAGATTTGACACAAACAAGAAATTTGAGTAAAATTTATGCTCCCTATTATTTTAGTTGGTCTTTTTCGATTAACGTACAAAATTTCATAACTTTTGGGGTGATTTTTAATTTATAAATTAGGATTGATATAGATACTAAAAATTGTATATTATAAATTATATAAAAAAATTTACAAAATAAGAGACGACAGGAATGTTTTATTTTACTCCCGAATGTTTTTAGAAATTGCATTGTTTACTCCCGAATATTAAAAAGTACACCATTGCCCTGAGCTCGGCAAATATTGCATGATTTATTCTTGAACATTAAAAAGTGCACCAAATACCCATCAACAATTTAAAACGTTGCACCGTTGGTCTTAAATTACTAGATAGGGAGTGTGTTGCTCCCACGTGAATTGCAAGTATGATTCATTTGGCCCTAGTGAATTCTCTAAAGTACCCTTCCCCAAAATTATCATCTTTATTTAAATGTTCATCCATAAATCGTGTAATTTCCGAAAAATTCAAGGGTATTTGGTGTATTTTTTAATGTTCAGGAGTAAATCGTGCAATTTCTGAAGAATTCAGTGGTGCTTCGTGCACTTTTTAAGGTTCAACGGTAACTCGTACAATTTTCAAAGAATTTAGAAATAAATGATGTATTTTTCTCTTTTATCAAATGATCAATTAAAACATACAAAAAAATAAAAATTATTGAAAAGCCATAATAGTAAAAAAATTGATAATTTTAGGACAAATGAAGGATGATACATGAAGTATTGCAGACAATGACTTTTTGTATGTCCCACACTCACACACACTCCATGAAATATTTGGTGTATAAATATCTAATATGACTTGTTTTACTCTCTTCCACATTACCTATATTTTCATCACATTATTTTTTCATCAACTTCTGTTACCTCATTCTAGTTCCTCTTTTTTTTCCATTTGTGGAAATATTTATTTTTCAACATATTGTATTTTAATTTCATAACAAAAAATTACTTGATATTCGATTGTTTGGTGCAAAAAATAATACTCTGTAACATTTTTAATCATTTATTGGGTTTATTTTTTTTATTTTTGTTACTGCTTGGTTCAATTTGTTTTTTTGTTTATTTTGTTTTTGCACCATTTATCTTACTCTTTCTCAATTCGAATCAAATTCACCTGCACTGTATTAGCATTTGTTCTCCCCAAAACAAATGTTAGTGATGCCGTAATATATTCTTTCGGTTCCAAAAAATATTTGCCTATAATAAAGTTTAGGAATATTTTTTTAAAAAACAACAGTTAAAACATAAAATTTATAAAGAAATCGCTCAAGATAGAAACAAAACAAAACGTATCTCTTAATCTCAAAATAAGAGTCACATGTTTTGTTTTCTAAATTTGTCAATTGCGTTATGACAATGCGATATTATTGTATATTGATATTTTTTACTATCCTATTTTGGTCTTTCTCCTATACTTTACTCATATCTTAATCTTTTTCCTAAACTTATACTAAGATCATGTTCTTTATGACTGGAAAAAAGTGATAGATGTTCGAAGAAACTACAAAAAATAAAAAGAAACTGAAAAAACTAGAAAAAATTAGAAAATCTAAAAAAAATTTAAATTTTTATTTGAATATTTTTATATCATTCTCATTCTAATTTTTGTTGTTATAAATTATTATTATTATTATTATTATTCTTATTATTATTCTTATTATTATTATTATTATTATTATTATTATTATTATTATTATTATTATTATTATTATTATTATTATTATTATTATTATTATTATTATTATTCTTGTTGTTGTTTTTGTCATTACGTTATCTTAATAAATGCCTTTAAGATTAAAAAATACTTTTATTTTTCATTCATAAAAAAACTACTTTTGCAAAAAAAAAATTAATTAGAATATAAAATTAGCATAAATGTCAAAATGTAAAATATTTAAAAGTTATTTTGACTACATTGCAAGTCACTTTATTTATGCAGTATTTATCATAAAATAATATATTTGTAATTATACTTTATATATTACAAGATTTTGCTTTAAATATCAGACATGTCACATAATGTAATCAAACATATTTTTTCTTTAATGGTTGACATTTTATTTTCATTATAACCATACTTTTGGAATAAAGACATAGAACATTTTTTCTTACATTTTTTCAATTTTTTTAAAAAATAGAAAAATTAAAAACAAAATTAATTTTTAAAATATTGATATTTTCCTTATATAAATTTAAATTAAAAAAACATTCTATGTAACTATTTTATCCATAAATTTTTTAAATAGTTTAAAATATTGATGTTTTCCAAATTTATCATGTAGATTAATATACAAAAATACTATTATTCATATTAAAAAGTTGAAGAAAAAATAATAATGAGAGTGAATCATAAAAATAGTGAGATGAAAAAAAAGAAATAATTTATGATTTATAGTTATGAACATAATAGTAATAATAATAATAGTAATAATAATAATAATATATCATTTTTAGAGTGATTTGTCGAAAAGTAGAAAAAGTTTGAAGAAAATAAAAAAGTTAGAAGAACTCTTGTAATGTATACTAACTCCGTCCCAGAGTATTTGTCCACTTTCATTTTTACACACCATCCAATACACTTCTTTAATCTATTTTATATATTAATGTGTCGAGTTGAATTTGAAGTAAGCTTATTTCATCTTTGTTCGTGTTTGAACTAATATGTTATAAATTTGAATACATAATATTATTGTATATTCAATCATAAATAAATACCATTTTTAATTCGTTATTGAAAGAAACTAGTAGAAGAAATTGAAAAAAAAACTAGAAAAAGTTAGAGAAATCTGGAAAAAAATTAGAAAAAGTTAAAAGTCGATTTTTTTCAAAAAAAAAAAAAAGACAAAATCTTAATGGTTAAATAGATTGAATTATCTAGTACTTGGTGGAGTCCCCACTGACCACTCCACGCGAGATAGATCTGCATAATCTGTCCCGATGTACATTTCTTCTATTATCATTGTTCAACAAAGAAAAATTTCTAACATTAATATAGTCAATATGCCCTTGTTCCCAATATCTTTTTACTCCGTATAAGCCATAAAACTTACATGTCTCACCCCACAATGGCACAATGTGACAATATAGAAATTCATGGATTAGGAATTGGATGATTGAGTCAATATAAACCAAATTCGGGTAAATTATAGCGATTGATTTTTGAACTCGACATTTTGATATTTACAATCCAATGCTTGAGAATCACTATTCCAACTCTTCGAATAATGGTGCTTTGGAGCGTTTACATCAACAATGTCGAGCGCAAATATCAATTGCCTAAATTATTACGCACTTTGTATAACAGTCGCTGTTTAGTTTAATGAAGGGTTGTTACCAGTTAACCAGCAGCAAGTGAAAGGACTTTTATAACCCCAAGACTGTTTGCACAAAGGATGGTGGGGCTGTCACTTTTCCAGCAAACAGCGCTGATGAAGCACGGTGCCCCTCCTATTTCTTCGTCACCTTCGCTCGTATCGGGACCAAAACTGTACCAAGCTGCAGGTTTAGATATTGCCTGCACAAAAAATGCAAATATATGTGAATTTATCCAACTCTCGTCGCAAAGAGGGAGGGGGGGGGAAGAACCTTGTGATAAACAAAAACTTCATTTCTTTCGCTGCCGCATGCAATGTATTCAGTGTTTACTGTGAGACCCACGAAATTGCGTTCATTTGTATGCCCTCTGTAAGTGCGCAGCTGAAAGCCCAAAAATAAATAACCACATAATAAAGTGAGTAAATAACCAATCAAAAATTCAGTGGTAATTAATTAGCACTAAGCAAATTCATGCCACCAACCCAAACTAATTGGGATTAAGGTGATAATGATAATAGAACTCATGTACACAAAATGAAAGACAATGAAGTGAAGAACTGAAGATCACTAATAATCCCTTCGTTTCAGAATACTTTTCTCACCTTCCTTCAATCCTTGGCACAAAGTTAAAGAGTGAGTTTAGGCAGGTCTAGGTCTTCTTCCAAGTGTGTAATAAAAACAACAAAATGTAAGGTGGGTTGGTAAGGAATTGGAAAAAAAATTTGGGTGAATCATGAATGGAGTGTTCTAATAAGTATGCTCTTTCCGAAATATTTCATAGGAAATAAGAACACCAGTTTGGAATAACTGAAAGTTGAAACTTTCAACACTATCATGGAACAAAGAGAGTTATACTTAACTGGAATGTTGGCCTTGACGTCCCACAAACGAATTGTGCTATCAGTTGATGCAGATGCAAGTTCATTGTCCGACATGAATTTCACGTATGAAACAGCTTTACTGTGCCCACTGAATACATACAAGGGCTGCTTAATACTTCTCAAGTCATAATAGTGGATGTGGTGATCAGCAGAACCCACCTGTAGGGCACAGACTAAATAATTAGAGACACCAAAATTCCTATATTTTCCGCATCCAAATACATGTTCAAAACTGGGATAGATGAAATAACACATACTGCCACATGGAAACTTGATCCAGGATTGCACTTCACAGAACAAATATTTGCTTTCATATCAATGCTTAGAACACTGTCTTCCTGCCTCATGCACCAAACTTTCACCTATTTGTCCACAATCAATCAAAAGCTACTTCCATTTTTTTAGGAAAAACAGTCTCTAGAATGTATAAGCCAATGCAAATGACAATTAAATATTTGACTCCCGTACCAACAGCACAAAATCAGCCTCCATTTCAATGTAATTTTAGATGTGGGACACTTTATGGCATACATTGATACATATGTGGTAACACATGACCAGTATGCATTCTTTACATACAAACACTACAGATATTAAAATATTATCAAGGTACTGGTTGGATCAGGAATCAAACTAGTACAGCCAATTCTGAATAAACGATATATTTTAATTAATTAATAATAATAATAATATACATGAGAGAGAGAGAGAGAATACACTCGAAAGGAAACTACTACATATATTTATAATAAGAAGTGAAAATAAAAAGGGAAAAAAGATCAAATTGGCCCCTCTGCTATTCTCCAATGACCAAGTAAAACCCTGAACTCAAAACAGCTCTAACTAACACCTCATTAATAATGACAAATATCATATTATTCCTGTTTCTCTCAGGTTTGCCGTTTGAGAAGTCGCATGCCAAGCCTGACAATTACACAACTGAATTTGTGATCTTGAGGCATAGGCTTACAAGCTGGATATCCCAGTCCTAGCATCTGGTCCAGTTTTTTAACCATAAAAGAATTTATTATTCTAAAGCGCTTGCATATTTTTTAAGAACACGAACTCTCATATACCTTGCAATCATCACTTCCAGAAACCAGCATAGAAGGTTCAGTGCATGAAAAGTCAACACACCATGCTCGTTTTTCATGCTCCTCACACTCCATAATACTCTGACCAAAGAAATTAACATGTTAATAGTAGTTATGCAAGCACAATTTCTCAAGGATGTATTTTGAAGGATAGAAAATGCCAAAAAAATCACCTGACGAGTAGTCACATCCCACACAGTTACTATGCCCTCATAGTCACTGCTAGCTATGTAATTCTTTTTGTACTTGTTCCAGCTCAAACAGCTCAGTTTGGATCTGGTAGGCATTTCCACAACAGGACACTGCAGACCTGTTGGTTTATTTACTACCTGAAGTATAGATCATAAGCTCAAGAATAAAGATATCCCGTTTCTACTAATATCATTCAATATCAGTAAGGTTTGCATAAGAATGAGGAATAAGACTGCCGTTGCATAACTTAAAATTATTACAAACATCGCCTTTTCCTTTGAACGTGTATTCGCTTGTGAAATTTGTGTAAGATGTGTGTGTGTGTGTGCGTGTGTGTGTATAAGGAAAAAAGACATGTTAAATGATGAACCTCTCATATGGACTTACATCAGCAAAATCAAAGACCTTGATGCGCCTTGATACTCCAGCTATAGCAAATAGTTCATCATCTCGGTTAAATTCTATACTGCAATAGTACAAGGAATATTAAACAAGAAAAGAAAAGTGCCTCCAAGTTGGTGTGAGTGTGTGCGTGCGCGAGGGGATAAATAAATAGAATAAAAAACTATTACATGTTCAATCATAAAACACTTTCTAAACACAAACTCTCTTGGATTTTAATGAGAACCACAGAACTACCAGCAACTTTTACAGTTATTTGAGAAAAAATTTCCAACTCTTGAGAAATGAATAATACTTTTGCACGGAAGGACACAAATTGCTAACCTTGAAACGATATTGACAGTGTGGAAAAGATCTGTGTGCCTAAACTCAGCAACAACTTGCAATCGGCTACGTAAGACAAGAGTTACACTATTAGTCTGAGCTATATAGCATAACCATAATAACATGAAGCTATCCCAGGAAACTAAAGAACTTGTAGATGAGGAACACACCAGACCTGTATCGCGTATATGCAGAGAAAATGTATTGGAATTCTTCAAGTCCTGTATTGTATTGCTCTTTTGTCCTGTTGGTTGTTACATTCTCTTCCCGTTTCTGAGGTTTTGTGCCGTAATGTCTCCGCTTTTGCAAGTAACACTCTTGCAGATCACTGAACTGATGATATTTAGAAGTGCAGAAACACCCTCATACCAATAAATTAGTCAAACAAAACTGGCTTACAAATATGACCATATCATGCTAGGATTAAACCACACAAATGTAAAGAAGGTACCTGTGCATGAACTTGTCTCCTCCTTGCTACATTATGTTCTGAAACTGACCCATTGTGTTCATCCTCTGTCTGAATTAATTGATAAGGGAAAGGATCTTGTGTTATCCGGGCCTGAGGACAGTTGGAAACTGCAAGGCGCTCTCCTTGTGCATTAGGGACATTTGGAATAGTGCCACAACTATGTTGGTCACACAACACAGGACCTTTTTGTGAAGATTGGCCCCTCAATATCAATGTTTTTGCTGAGCATCTATCCCTGGCTCGATACAACTCCAATCTACATTTCTCTACAGCCCTTATGTCTTCTTTAATATATTCAAGGTCATTTTGAATCTGCCAGAAATGCATGGGAGAATCAATGACGTGTTCTGGCTTGTCAACATAAAAAATGACATGTTCTACCATGATATTTTTAATGTTTTTCGCCAACATATCAGAATGAATTGAAAGGAAATTATGTTATTCTTTTAAGACCTTTTCAAAAACACCATCTCCATTATACTTCATATATTACGTAGTACTATATCTACCAAAAATAAAAGTACATTTCTATTCAAAAGTCAAAACAAAGGTCAGTTTGGCTTACCTCATGAAGTTCATCAAATTTTTGCTTCCTTAAGCACTGCATAAAGTTGAACAGAAGCTGCAAGTTTGCCTCAGTTTCTTCTAGCTCAGCTTTCTTTTTTTTCTCAGATAGAATAGATAAGAGGCTATCAAGCTCCTTAGCTGACATCTTGCATCCCTGTCTAAGGATCACAAGTCAAGTTATATGAGTAGTGCACTAGACCTGAGATGCACAAAAAAAAAGTAAAAACATGGAAACATCAACGATTTTCAAATCCAGAGTTTCTGGTCATTCAGAACACCCCATATACCATGTAAATTCAAACTTTTCTAACTTTGGGAAATAACAATAGATAATGGGCCTATTATGACAATTCAACGGCCATGTTTCATGGATTGCAAATTGATTTTCCAATATCAATCTTGTAATGAACAAGAAAGCAACAAATACCTGAATGCATCATTGCCTCATTTTTCTGTGCAACTGAAAATAAACCATGATGATGTTGGTTTACGATCGGAAGGGAAGTGGAAATGAGTAGGAAAAGGATAAAATCTGTTAAGAATGTTTTAAGCAAGGATCTCACTCAATAACTCTCTGTAGACAGTAGCCAACAATGAAGAATCTCCAATTGAAAATAATAATATGTTTATTTTTAAATATAAAAATAGTAGAGATAGATGAGACTATTTATAGAGTCTGATAACAAATGAATAATAATATAATAAGATCACTGAAAATCCCTAAATATTATAGACGAGAACGGACTAATCTTATCCTAACATAATTAGATCCTAAAATAATAAAATATCCCAGCAAGATCATTACCTCCGAGTAGGGGTAAGGTTTGCATACACACACCCTCTACAGACTCTTACTTTTTGTGGGACCTTACTAGGTTTGTTGTTGGATCCCAACAATGAATAGCTAATATATACCCTATGTTTACTAGGATTGTTATCTGTTTAAGATTTCATCGTTGTTCTTTTTTACTTTCTATGCAATGGTTTGGAGACAAGGGCATCAGGTATACATTGCCACCATTTTTTTGCTAGAGTTTATGGTGTTAATTAATCTTAGCTCTTTATAAATTAGCAATACAGATTTCAACTCATCCACCCGAACTAGTTAGGGATAAGGTGCTGATGATGATATTAATAAAATTCAACCCCATCAAAAGTAAATAAAAGGGGAAAAGTATCCTTTTCTTGTTTCCCCTTAAAAATAATTTCAATTCCAATATCAATTAACCAGACACCTTTTTCAGATGCACACACTCATAATTTGAAATGAAGTCTACAAGGCTCAATTTAGTGAAATTCGTGAAATGAAGTGACCACGACACATAGAGACTCGCACTTATTTTGTAATTTTATATTGCCTTACCAAAAAAATTTGAAAGTTATTTGAAACACCACAATGACGAGCTTTGTCACAATATCACGCAGAACCTTGTGAAGTTATCATATAGTAGTGACATATAACATGTCTAACTGTCTCCAAAGTCCAAACTAAAATTTGTATGCCCATGTGTGACAAGTTCTTATTATTCATATCTAAATATGATGATGAAGAAGAATTATTAGTGCTTGAGCATTGTATGTTAACACATTTCACAGGGGGTAAATAGATAAAAGGAGACAATAACTTCTCCCTCATATATCATTTGAGAGGAATACTAACTATAGTTTCCCCATCATAAAATCAGTTAACCATCTGGTGGGATCTCTTTAACTTATCCATCATGAAAGACATACAATAGGAAAAAAAATCATTAAATATTATTTTCATTTTAACTGCATGGCATAATGACTGACCTCTTGTATTGCCCGGCAAAACTGTTCCACAGGTAATGCAGTTTTAGAAATATGATGAGCAGTAGTCTTCATCAATAACTACAACATGGAAATGTATATATTTCAGCGCAATTCAATTTGAACAAAACAGTTTTTTATAAGTATTAATGCAGCCAAAAATAACAAAGCAATAGTAAGATACCCATGTAAAATAAGGGTGGAACCCTACCTAGATAAAATTGCAGAAAATAAGATTAAAGTGTATGGTAGACTGTTGACAACCCTGAAACCATTTTATTATCCAACCCCACCATCGAAATGTTTAGATGAACCAAAACAAAATGATTCCTTGTAGGTCTAGCGAGCATTATGTGACTCGTGAATGTGCATGCACTAAAATTTATGATGCTCTGAGTATGTGCAAAAGCAAATGTGCAAAAAAGATTTCAATTTTTATCTCTTCACGGATCGGAAGTGTTATTGGCAACAAAATGAAAATCTTTTAGCAACGAAAGAAGAATTGTGCAATTATTAAATATGCACACATCAATTTTATAATATACATGTTCTAAGTGGATGTGTAATCAATGTGTAAGTAAATGTGCATATGTCAATTGTTTAGTAAACATTTTATTAATTACATACAGGTGTATAATACTCCGTATAAGAAACTCTTTCACATACGAAGTAAAACACATTTTACATGGATTTCATGTAAAACCCCAAAGGATCCAACTTCCTATGGAGACAACTTCAGTGGATATCAATTTAAATTAGCAATTCAAGACCGAAATTGCCAAATGACAGACAACAGAGATTAATTTGAAAGAAAACTGTGCTCTTACTTTATTGAGGAGGAAATTAGGGTAGAGCTGTTTCTTCGTGAGGTAATGGGAGCAACAGGGGCAATCGCTCTTGTTCTTAAGATGAGTGACGATACACATGTAGCAGAAGCTGTGCCCGCAAGGGGTCAGAAACGCGTCCTTGACGACTTGCATGCATATCGGACACAGAACGTCCTTATCCAGCTCCTCCATCGACGGGGCCGGAATCGACGAGCCTTCACCCTGCGCCGCTGGTGGAGGCGGCGGCGATTCTCTCGGAATTACCGGTGCCGATTTCTCCGACGGCGCTGGCGCCCCGATCTCGGTGCCAGATCCTCCCGCCGTAAGAGCTCCGTCCATTTCGCGCCGAGATCTGGTGGAAGTTCTGCCGATGTCATCGCCATTTGTTTTAAGAATTAAGAGGTGAAGAGAAGAGAGTGATGTGTCCGCCTTTCAGAGGGAACGACTGTGTGAGGGTGGAAAAGAACCACGTTTTAGGCGGGCAGGCGAGCCTATCACCCGTCAAAAATTCAAAATTAATAATGAGTACTTGGTTCTTCCCGGAGTGTTTGTCCACTTTGGACTTTTGAAACTGTTCATCTAAGCACTTTGATTCATCAAATTCTCTCAATCTGTAAGCCTAAAAATAGTCATGTGTGATCTTGTTTGATTCGTCTTAACATATAGATTATTAATATATAATTTTTTAATATATAAATTACAAGATAAAATGGATTAAAGAAGTGCATTGGATGTTGTGCAAAAATGAAAGTGGACAAACACTGAGGGACGGAAGGAGTATAAAATTTTCTTATTTAGTTCTCTATTATTCCCTTCGTCTTAAAATTAATTATACATTTTGACTTTTACAGTCAAATTTTTTAAACTTTGACTGTATATTATGGAAAAAATATATTGAATTTTCATATAAATATATTATCAATAGATTCATTTTGAAACATAATTTTGAAATATATTATTTTTATTATATATATTCATATAAAAATAGAGATACTAATGGTCAAAGTATCGCATTGGAGACCGTGAAAAGTCAAATGAGAAGTTAATTTTAGGACGGAGGGAGTATTAAATATTATTTCGATAGTCTTTCTTTTATGTATATCTTTATATATTTAAAATCTTGGTATATGAAACAAATTCTAGTCCTAGTTGTGCTTTTCTAAAATAATCTACAACATTTTTGTTTACTCTGTAATATTTTGAGCCCGCTTGATGAGTGCATAAGATACGGATTCTAATATTTTCCGATATCAATATTTGGAAGAGTATAACAATTCTTCCAAATGATTAGTTTTTGATATCTCTATCAATTGTTGATCACCTCACATATCACTAACAATCATCATTTCATATTTTTTTCAAATACTTTGGTTTCATATTTCAATCCTCTATGATTTTTTTACACTTCAAACATGTATTGTATCAAACTTCTAAAACTCATCAAATCGACCTTTAATTATTTATAATATATTTGTCATATTTAAACCACTCTCCTAAAAAATATTAATATTCTAAAAACTAAACCGGACATCAAATTTATCAAGGGTTCAGAGATAAATGACAAAAAAAAGTCTAAAACTAACTCATTGACTATTTCAAGAATCACATTTTTCTAAATTTAGATACTCAAACAAACACTCAACTTAATTAGATAATATAACCAGTTAAGCTTTCATCAATAAAAATGATTTAGCGTTGACTAAATTAATTCATAAGATAAAAGTGAAATGAATGCATTTCGAATGGGCTCCAAACATCAAATAACACACATCTATCATCTATGCACTACTTCGTAAGTTGTCAAAAAAGATGTCACATAAATTCATGCATATTTTAAAAATATTCAGGTATTTAAAGACTTTAAATGCTCTATGAGATTTTGACTATTTACATCCTGAAGTGAGTTTATTTATTCATCTAGAAAATGATACATTTTCCTTTCTTTAAAAAAATAATACATTTTCCTTTTTTAGATCGTTCTAAAAAAATATACATAGTACACTTTTTCGCTTTGCTAATAATAGTCCGTAAAAGAGATGTAATATATATTTATTCTCTCTCTTCAATAGAAATTTTAACTAACCACATTTAGGGGCTGTTTGGCAACTTCTGAATAGGTAAGTGCTGAACCAGTAAGAGGTCTGAACCAATAAGAGGTCTGAACCATTAAGAGCTACTTCGTAGTATATTGCTTAACTATTCAGAGGCAAATGTCTGATCAATTCAGATAAGAGGTCTTAACCATTCAGATTCTGTACAATACTTAACCATTCAGAGGCAAATCTCTTAACCATTCAGACATTTGAACCATTAAGAGGCTAAAACAAACAGTCTGAACCATTAAGTGCTGAACCATTCAGACATCTGAACCATTAAGAGGCTGAAATAAACAGTCCCTTACTTTTTAAAAATATATGAATTCAAAATGTCTAAATTAAACTGAGAGAAACGAAATATTTCATTTGTCTAACAATAAATTTTTCATTTTGAATAACATGCAAAATTCCATCTTTTTAAAAATTATTTTATTTACAAATTGATACTCCGTATATCATAAAAAGTACAAATTATATTGTTTAAAATTACATAAAAATTTAAAAAAAAGATATGACAAATATATTTAATGTATCAAATGATTGATGAATATATAAAAAATAAACATAAATTATCAAGAGACTGTAATAATAACTGAAAAATTTATTGTTGGAGGAAAAGAATATTTATTTTTTGTGGTGAATTTATTAACTCAATTTCATTAGCAGAAAAGGGTGCTGTTTTTACGCAACAACTTTACCGAGATTCAGAAAACGTTGGAGTATTTAAAATTTGAATCTCCTTCCGCTCCCACAGGCAACTCGTTGAAAGAAACTCACACACTGCACCAGAACTCCATTCCTTCGTCTTAAACAACCCAGCGAAGAAGAAGAAGAAGAGGATCCGAAGAAGAACTGAAGAAGACACGGGGAAATGGAGATCGCTTCAGGTCCTTTCACTTCGTGCACGAAAGAGCAGCAGAAGCTCTATCAGAACTGGTTTAACTTAGCCGATTCAGGTCCGATCTTCTCTGCCACGAGTATATATTGTATAAACCCGTATCGTTCTGGTTTGCGTTTTTCCGTTTGTGAGTTTGATTCTGTTGAAGAAATGATGGCGATTCGATTTCTGGATTCTCTGTGTTTGTGATGCAGACGGAGATGGTCGCATTACTGGAACTGACGCCACCAAGCTTTTTGCATTGTCCAATCTCAGTAAACTTCAACTGAAGCAGGTAGCCTCTCATCCTTTTTTTCTTATGGCTGTAGCCTGTTGATGCGAGGCTCTCGTCCCTCTCATTTGACATATGAACTTAAACATGACGCTTAATTTGCTTAAGGAAGATTGATCTCTGATCGTTTTCCATTTTTAGTTCATCTATTCTGCTATTGTAGATTTGGTGGATTATTCGTCTTGTTTTAGTCCATATATATGAGGATGAGTAATTCTGAGTTTGTCTTTAAAGTGATCTTGAACGGCGGTGATATATCTGCAGATACATGATAAAATGTCTCACTGAATTGTGAAATCTACTCCTTATTAGTAAATAAATGAAGAGAATTGCTCCATTTGGCCATTAGCTTCTTCAGTTTGTTCTCAATTATACTTGTCTGCTTGGTGCTTTCAGGTCTGGGCTCTTGCTGACTCCAAACGTCAAGGGTATTTAGGCATCAATGAATTTATTACTGCCATGCAGGTAATTTATATGCTTTAACTCATTCTATCATACATTAGTTCCTTGCGATTCTAAACAATTATCTTCTACATGTTGTTATAGTTGATATCTTTGGCACAAGAAGGGAGAGAGCTAAACGCAGATCTCCTTAAGACCGCAGGCGAGTGAATTTATCTTTATTAATCTTGTAATGTTCAGTTTTGGTTCTGGGGGAAACAGATAAGTGATACGGAGTATAACTAATTGGGTGTATCCCGATAAATGGTCTACGAATATGCTTGAGAACTGGAACTATTGTTTTGAGCTAAACGTACTGTTCTCTTTCTCTTCTCATTTTCTTATATTTCTTTATTACTTTTTTCATTTTATAGCTGGAATGCGCTATGTGGATCCTCCAACAATGAATGATCTCGATCTGTTAATTTCTGTAAGTGCTTCTTCGATGTACCTTCATCACTACAATCATGACTCCATAGGTTATCCAGGGCTTACATATATATATTTTTCAATCCCAGAATACAAATGACTCACTGTCAGAAACAATTCCCGATTCAAATGGTAACAAGCTCGAAAGTAATGGTATGTTTTAAAGTTTTTCGTATATGCACATCATTATTATCATCATAATCAGCACCTTAATCCCAAGTAGTTGGGGCCGGTGGCATAAAATTTATAGTGATAATATTTTAAACAAAACACTATAAATTCATGAAAAGGCTTACTGGTAATATTTAAATTATCAGAGGAAAAGGTTTGTGTAAGTTCTCTAATACATTTAAAAACTAAAAATGGTGCAGGAACTGCACAGTCACAGATAGCAGCATCAATCAAAATGTTCACTGCAAGATCTAGAAAGAAGGTAAGTTTCCATTCCATGGATTTGTTAACATCAAAGTCTCTCTTTCGCATTTTAACCACATGGTTTTTCTGTCTCTCTTTCACTTAATTGATCAATTGGCAAACAATGCTTGGTTTTCTGTACTTGACATGACATCCTTATAACACTACAAGAGGATAGCTAAAAGTTGCAGCAAATTATTATAGATCCAAATGTTTAATTTGAATGCATATTATATTATTGCAACAAACATAGATTTTATTATTTATTCTCTGGATTCATTATTCCTTTTCCCTGTTTTCTTCAGGTCCAACCAACTCTTAGTGCTGTCACTTCAGTAATTGATGGTTTAAAGAGGTTATACAATGCAAAGCTGAAACCACTTGAAGCTACCTATCGCTTCAATGATTTTGTATCACCAATATTGGTGAGTAAATAAGGATACATTAACTACATCTACTAAGAAAAATTTAAAACCTATTTTCTTGTGTGTTATATTGAACTTTTTGGTTCTTTTAGTTATTCCCTTTTTTTCTTGTAGACGGAAAGTGACTTTGATGCTAAACCCATGGTTATGCTTTTGGGTCAATACTCAACTGGGAAAACCACTTTTATTAAGCACCTGCTGAAGTCCAATTATCCAGGTTAGTTAGTCATACTGTTATGAGTCCTCAGTTTCCCATACATAAGTGTTCCGAATTTTAGCTAATCTGTTTGCTGTTAAATAGGGTCTCACATTGGACCCGAGCCAACTACTGACAGATTTATTGTTGTCACGGTAACAAGTTTTATTTCTAAGTGTTCCAAAACAGAATATAGTTACATGTTTGATGATCATTCAACAGATAATGTTTTCCTAAACTTTCATTTTCATTTGTATGCTTTGATTTGCCAGTCCGGACCAGATGAAAGAAGCATTCCTGGAAACACCATAGCTGTTCATAAGGACATGCCATTTACAGGGTTGACCACCTTTGGAGGAGCATTTTTGTCAAAATTTGAATGTTCCCAGATGCCACATCCAGTATGTCATTTTAACCCATTTTTTGAATAGTAACAAAAAATCTTAAATTCATTGGAACATGGGGTATAATTTGATCACCAAGAATAGGGAAAGGGAAAAATGAGATTCTTATGTTTGGATTTCCATTTAAAAAATGCAAAAGAAAATGAAATACAATAATATTTTTAATCCCCCTCATGTATAGCTTTCTTTGTCCTATGTACTCTGTAATAGGAAAAATAGAAAAAATGAGCTTAAACTTGGAACAAACATCAAAGTACATGTATTGAGTTTAGTATTATATTTTGTTTTCCCTTGAAAATTTTTTCCTTCCCATTCACAACTCTTCTTTTCTCTCCATTTTCGCTAGTATTTACCATTTTATGGGTTCAAAATAAATGAAAACCCCTTAATATTTGAGCATTGTAACTTGCAGCTCCTTGAACATTTCTCATTTGTGGATACCCCTGGTGTCTTGTCTGGAGAGAAACAAAGGACCCAACGGAGTTATGATTTCACTGGAGTCATATCCTGGTTTGCAGCCAAATGTGATCTCATTCTTCTCTTATTTGATCCTCACAAACTTGACATCAGTGACGAATTTAAACGTGTCATATCATCTCTGCGTGGTCATGATGACAAAATCCGTGTCGTGTTGAATAAGGCAGACCAAGTTGACACTCAACAAGTAAGATGCTTATTGGTTGCAAAAACTGTTTTACTTTGCATAAACAATATGTCCGATCATTGTCAACTTGATGCATTTTCTTCTGTTACAGCTAATGAGAGTTTATGGTGCATTGATGTGGTCTCTTGGAAAAGTTCTGAACACGCCAGAGGTCATTAGAGTCTATATAGGGTACGCTCAAGCTTTAATAATGCTAATATACTCTTTAAAAGTATATCCACTAGCTCTGATTTCTTTCAATTGCATTAGTGGTTGGATATTTCTTCTTTTTCTCTTCGGAATTTATGTAATAATAAACGACTCTTTGTGGTTGCCTTTTTTTTATGTTTCTTGACACGGGGTTCTAGTTCCTTCAACGACAAACCTGTAAAGGAAGGCACTGACCATATGGGGAAGGATCTTTTTGAAAAAGAGCAAGACGATTTGCTTGAAGACTTGATTGATATTCCCAAAAAGGCTTGTGATCGTAAGGTAAGGTATCCTTCATACAAAGTGTGAAATCAGGGTACCCAGTACCCTATTGTTTACGCAACCGGCTATCCAACCAAACTAAATAAACCCATTAAATCCCAGCCAAGATTAGGTTCTCCGGGGTAAGATGTATGCAAATCTTGCCTCTACTCCCAAGGAGGCTTAGAGCTTGTTTTCAAGAGGACTCCTAACATGACGCGTAAACCACATCGGTTTCGAGTAGATTGTAAATGTTTTTATCTGTTTTCGTCATTTCAGATCAACGAATTTGTGAAACGCGCAAGAGATGCTAAGATTCATGCCTACATTATCAGCCATCTGAAGAAAGAGATGCCATCATTGATGGGGAAGTCCAAGGCTCAAAAACGTCTCATCAACAATCTTGCAAATGTATTTGCAGAGGTTAGTCTCTTTTGCTCACCCAACTCGCCCCAACTATTAGTCATGCCAAGAAGAGCAAACAGACCATTTCTGATCTGGTCTGGTATGATCTGATTGTAGTTTTGGGATTTTATTGTTTGCGCTCTCTCAAACTCGGGCACCTAACGAGACTTCTCCATGGCATTACGTTGTGCAGGTTCAAAGAGAGCACCGTATACCCGCGGGTGATTTTCCGAGCGTGGAACACTTTAGAGAGGTGCTTACGCGTTACAACATAGAAGATTTCGAGAAACTAAAGCCTAAAATGATTCAGGCAGTGGATGAAATGCTTGGTCATGACATTCCAGAACTCATCAAGAACTTCAGAAACCCATATGATTAAAATCGCGCGGGGGAGTTACGGGGCCATCTAGAGCTTCAAGAATGATTGAAGTTATGAAATAGTAATAAAAATAATAGCATGATCATCATAAGCACTGCATTATTCTTTAATTATTTTGTTTTTTTATTTTTTGAACTTTTTACTCGTAATTATTTTGATTTGTTTGTTCGTAGGCCTGTAATGAGTTCTTTAGTTTGTTCTTAGGAGAGTAGTTAATTGATACAAGTGCTATGTTGCCCCACCTAGATTGTTTTCAAGGGTTCTGTTCATCATTTGATGCTGCAATTGGTTGTTTTGCTAGAAAATATGAACATATGAATCAAGATTTATGGTTAGAGGGTTAAGTTATTGATCAAGAGTAACCAATGTATCATGATATTTTAGTAAATTAATATCATTAATTAATTAATAATTAGTGCTACTTTTAGATATAAAATACTTCTCATATCTTTCTTCTACTTTTTCCTTTTTTAACCCGTCTTATATCTTTGTATCTTTTTTTATAACAAATACTCTCTCCGTCCACCTAAGTTTTCCCGTTACACGTGAATTAATTATAAGAGTAAAATTTTCAAATTAAAATTAATATAATAATAAACTACATGAAAAGCTGTACAAAACTAAAGGTGACAGGACTATATTATTTTACGAAATGACTAGTAAAAATGAGCAAACAAAGTGAGTAAATTTTAATCATGTGAATAGTGTCTGGGAAGATTTATAGTGGACAGAGGGAGTATATAACATTAAAAAGACCTTTTTACCCTCAACCTCGTCGAAATGAGGTAGGTAAACTTACTTATACCTCCCTTCCAATCACACAAGGTTGGGACATAAGGGGCTTTGGCACAAAAAATAATACTACCTCCGTCCCATTTTATAACGCCTGTTTCGGTTTACGATGTTTGACTGAAATTATTTTCAAACTATTTTATATGAAAAATGGTATAGAATTTAAAAATAAAAATTACATATTAAAAAACTACATCAAAAGATCTACAAAACTAGTAGTGACAATAATATTTTATTTTATCAAATTGCTAACGAAAATAGAGAAAGAAAGTGAATGAAGTTTGACCCTGTGAATAGTAAACATGCATTATAATTTGGGACGGAGGGAGTACAGTACAAATACGATCAGAGGCTAAAGAGATAGTGAGGAAAGAGTATGAAACACACATTTTATTAAAAATCGTAGTAGAACTGTAGAAGTAATAGAATAAAATGTGACACTAACTACAAGTGTACAACTAAGAAAAATAATGAGAAAGTGAGGGATCATCAAGCAAATTTCTCACAAGCCCTTCCACTTTCTTCATCACGCTGGCGTTCGAAATGCGATCTATCACCTCAGCAGCAAAGGAGAGAATAAGAGCTTTTCTCGCGGCTCTGATGTCAATGCCGCGGGCCCGGAAGTAGAAAAGCTGGTCTTCTTCAAGATCGCTAATCGCGGCTCCGTGGGAGCATTTGACGTCGTGTGCAATGATTTGGAGATTTGGCTTCACATTCACCGTCGCTCGCGGCTCCAACAAGAGGCTTCTTGTTAGCTGTCCTGCGTCTGTCTGTTGTGCATCTCTGCACGAACAAGAACAGACCCAATAAAATCCCACAAAAGTAGGGTTTGAAGAGGGTGTGTGTACACATACAACCAATAATAATTTCTTGTTTTAATAAAAAAAAGGTATTAAGGCTCTTCTTTTTAGCTGTAAAAATAGAACTGGTCAACTGGATGTAGGAAGAAACTAGGAGTTGGAAAAACTAGGAGTTGGAAGAAACGAGAATGAGCTGGAAAGAGTTGGAAGAACCAAAGAAGCTTGAAGTTCGAAGAAACTGGAAAGAGTTGGGAAAATTGGAAGGAGTTGAAAAATGTTGGAAGTTAAGAGTTAGAGCTCAAAAGAACAAAGCTTGGGTTGCACAAAGCATCCCCGCTTAACAAGGGTCCCACAATGATGCAAGGATCTCTTTGCATATTTTGCAAGAGGTTCTTTGAAGAGAGGAAACAACCATATTCATTTACTAACAAATTATGACTCTGGAAGAGAGAGAGAGAGAGAGAGAGAGAGAGAGCTCAGCCGTACCTATTGACCTGCACACTTCCATCAAAGACAGCGTGCGCCGAGGAGTGAGCCACAATGCACTTGTGAAGTTGACGAGAGACACCGCGTGGATGGTCTAATATTAATTTGCTATGCAAATCTTGTGTTTGGTCACCACTTGCCAAGTGAAATGTTGATAATTCTGTCACGGTGTCCTGCCCGAGCTGCTGCACAAGCAAATTGTGTCGGCTCAATTTCCCGCCAGTGCTTACTTCTACAAGCTCGTAGATGCTTGTTGTTTCCTGATCAAAATAAATAACCAATTCAAGTATGACATCCCTCCTTCATACTTCAAATCAAACAAAATTATCAACAATGAGCTACAGTATTTTTGACAATTAAAAAATACCCCCTTCACCCAATACTATTAGTCATTTCAAAAACTTTCGCTAAAGTAACCATCAACCTTTATTTATGAGATCTTACAATTTTTTTATTGTTAATAGCTCTAAGAGCTTTTCGATGTTTTCTTTAAAAAAATGTGCCTTTTTATCTAGAGATATAAAATATTAAACTACAGGGTATTGAAGTGTTTTGTAATCTTAATGAGTAAAGTAATAAAAGTCCTTGTTTCCAATATTCATCTTGTAATTACTGATAATTTATTTAAAGAGACAAAATAGGAGCATTTGGGGAGGAAAAGTCAAAATCATACCATGAATTATTAAAATGAAAATGCTTTTGGCACAAAACTCTAAGCCTAAAAGTCTAAAACCATAAAGAATTTGGGACATTGGGATGGAAGAAGTAATGAGTTGGCACAGAAAGATTTAGAGCACATATATACCTGGCGAACTGAAGTCCACTTAATGTGTGCAGAGCCGAAGGACTGTGTTTGAATATAAGAATGGATGACCTTTGCCCCATCCCCGATTACAACTTCCATCACAGAATTAGCCCAATAGCATTTACCACTCCCGTCGACACTGGTGTACTCCTCCACTATACCAAGCTCACCACCCTTCTCCACTAAAACCAACACCCTAGGGTTCGAAATGGGTAAAACTTTAGAATCTTTTTCACTTCCTTTCAGTGAAAAGTACTTCAAATGGAGTGGACTCTCAACTTTACACCCTTCGGGCACATATACAACAAGCATGTCAGGGGCACCCATTCCATTAATGGACCAAAACAAATCCCCGCCCTGGGAATTGGAGATATATTCAGATACTCTTTTAATTGTAGCCTCTGAAGTGATGCTTGACAGACACCCAACAAATGCACCATTGGGCAATACAGATAACTGGGACAAAGAGTTTACCATGTATCCATCAATTACTGTAACACTTAATGGAGAAAGAGTATCACTGGAAACTGGTAAAAACTGCAGCAACTCAGAGGAAAGTGGTACTGGTTCAATATTAGAGTTCCTAATAAAAGAAGTGTCTGTAAACCTAAAAGCTTCATCCTTGCGTGAAGGCCATGAGGTGGAGAGAAGGGATTGGGAGGAAATGTCTCTAAGTTGCTGCAGAAGGGATGATGATGATGATGATGATGATTCTAGTGAATCTTCAAGAGTCTCTGCAAGTTGAATGACATATGGGTCTGAGAGGACTGCATGGGTGGGTGATTGGGTAAAGACTCTAGTTTGTAACCTGTTGTTCTTGGATCTTCTCAATGTCGGTAATCTTGGAAGACAACATGACATTGACTGGGATGTTAACGCAAATTGAGGTGGGTGTACAGTAGGAGGGAAGTTTGAAGTGACTATTGAATTTGCTTTAAGCATCATTTAGTTATATATGATTAAATCCCACAAGTATGAACTATCTTAACTCAGTTCACTCACAAGAAAAGGCAACCTAAAGTTGAAATATCTCGATTCCACTTGATTCTCAAACATTCAACATCAATCACAAAAGTTCAATTTCATGAAGTGCAGCTTGACAATCTCTTGCTTGAATGAATTCCATGGCTTTACTGTCAAAAACATTCCAGGAAAATAATATTTTAAAAAGAGTTACTAGCCAAAATGCATACATAAAAACAACATTGATAAAAAGAAGACAAACATTGTGCAAAACCTAATTCATTGACACCAGAATATTCGTGAAAATAAGCATATGAGGTAAGTAATGGGAAAACAGACATGCAACAATACAAAAATGTACAATTACTCACAATATGTATTACTAAAAGTTAAGTCATGACTAAGGCCCAAGAGAATATAAACATGCATGCCTAAGAATATTATGAATACACAAAAAAGTTATGCGGTTAATTTTCATGTAACTACAAGTAAGCTTCAACTCTTTATGTTTCTTTTTCTTCAAATCCACTTATATACATTTATTCTCCTTTACATCAAACTAATGCAGTAACTGCACCATAAGGTTAAAATGGTACAATCTTGAATTTTGCTTAAGCAGTTTTTGTCTTGGCATTCCATCTAATGTCTTAAAACAAAAAACTACAATAAAAGATCTTGCTCAAGCACTTCCCATCTAATTTCCAAAAAAAATAAAAAAAATAAATAGATATGACCCCTAGCCTGGAGAAAACGGTTTTGGGCCACTTAAGTACCAACTAGATGATTTATGTCCTGTTAACCACGGTGACGGCACCCTTGGGTTAACAAAACTGTCAATTTGGGGTTTAGATTAAACAACCAAATGTGCACTGCTGATTACCCAATCTAATAAAAGTATTAATCATTAAAATCAACTATCAAACACCATTTTTAGCTAAACCAGTAGCCTTATAGCTGAAATTCAATTTCTTAGTTTCATTAACTAGCAAAACTTAAAGCTTTCATGCTTGGTTCAAGTAAAAGCAGCTATTTAACACTCACAAACACACATTCATACTAAATTAAAAATCAATCACGACAAAAAAAAAGTTGCGATGTCGTTAACCTTAAAAGCATGTACTCAGATACAGAGAATTAATTCATCCAGATTATTGTCCTCAGACTAAATTAGGGGAAAGTGAGAAACCATTAGGATTGAATAAACAGAACTCATCAGAAACGAAATTAGCGAAACATCCATTGTGTATAACGTGGGTCAAGAAACGAGATTAGTTTGGCAGAGAGAAACTCAAAATCAAAATCTCAAACTGGGAGGGGATTCTACGGGAGTACCCTCAAAGTTGCGACGATTCCGACAATTCGACGAATATGATTCCGTCAATCTTGCAGCGATGCTGAGAAGATTCCGCGCTCAATCGGGCTGCTACGGTGGCGGAAGATCGGACTAGGGAGGGAGTGGAGGCAGATTTTTATTTTCTCAATTCACATAAATGTCTGCGAACCTTGTTCTAAAAAATACTAATAATTGTCTGCGAACCCGTGTAATAAGAAAAAGATATTGGACTAATGAGTAAAATGGGAAAAACAAAACATAATTTTCATGTTTTTATTTCAAAAATAATACTTCGTAATTAACATGTATCTACATTACAAAAAAAATATAATAAAATGTAAATGTATAATTATTACAATGTCATATTACCGCAACGTAACTCCTAATTAAAAAAATATGAAATTTCTATTTTAGTATTTTCTCTATATTTTATTCCTATTTAGATTGAGTTCTTAAATAACTCCGATAAATTTTCGGACTTTATGATTGATGTGGCCCTATTTAGAAGTGAATTGGTCCCAGGTACAGTACGAGGTGTCCTTGATGTACTTAGATCTAGCTACATCCAGCTATATAAAATACGAGCTCGGTGAATTATGATTATTACGAGACAAACGAAGTATTAAACTCTAATTACACCATTTTTAAATTTTGTTAAATTCAAATAAAAAAGTTTTACGTAAGAGAGTTAGTATTTTTTTAAAGGCAGGAGTGAAAATTAGAGAGTGTTCCCTTCATCTATAAGAAGGTTCCATATTTTCTTTTTTTCTTTTTTTTGCCTCCAAAAAAGGTTTCATTTTCTACTTTTCTTTTAAAATTGCGGTTTTTATAATTTCTTCATCTTTTGCATCACTTTTAACTACGTACTTTTATTTTCTTTAATCTTTGTGTCTAATCATAGGTAAAACCTTTTCTTAGGATGAAGGAAGTATAAATTTCCACAAAATTTTAAAAAAAGTGTTGAAAGTGAAAAATGAGGTTAGAATTTGATGAAAGGAGAGCAATTTTTTTGGGCTGCATGATTCACTCCCTTTAGACAATGTGAAGATTATTTTGAAGCAACTAACAAGGAAAGAAATAAGATTATTTGAAAAGGGAGGGATTATCATTCTATCAAGCCATGTGGCAGTTATATGCATCTTTCATGCAATAATAACTTTGGAAGTACAAATTCAGATGCATACACCATATTGCAGTAGGTAATAACTAAAAAGGGTTAGGATTTCATTACACTTTATTTCCTCAATGATATTTTATACCAGGCCGGTTTTATTTCAGTGTTTCATTCACAAAATTTATGGTTTCTACTCTCACTCCAGTCCTATTCTCGCCCTTACCCCTACCCCACCCCACACTCTTTTCCAAATGTATGGTCATTATAATGACCACACAATTGGAAGGGACCAGATGTGGGGTTGGAGGCTGGAATGGAGGACTTAGGAGAGTCCGATTACAAGAACCATCAATTTTGTGAAAGGTGTAACAGATGTGCTTAGCCAGTGGCATAGCTAATGGCACCTTTGCCTAGTGGCTAGGAAACCAAGCCGATTTTTCACTCTCGGTTACCACTCTCTTTTTGACTTCTATTATAAGTATTTACCTTCAAAACAAGGCTTTTAAAAAACCTAAGATAAATCTCCATCCTTATTTGTCGTTTCAAAATTACAAAGTACGGAGTATAATTCAATATAGGTAACAATCAGACTGTTACTAAGTGACCCAAGGACGAAAATCACAGAATTCATCCTCTACTTTCAAAATAAGTCTTTCAATATTTCTTCAAAATAGTTTTACTTCATGAACATTGGATAAAATTTCATTTCACAGTTTGATGAATTCTTAATGGAGATTTCAAATTTGCAATGTGGGAAATTTGGCATGGTTCAAACGTTACTAATGAATGTGAAACAATTTTGTAGTGACAGAGAGTGGCTGTGATGGAGAGATTTTGAGATTTTTGTCTGTCCTTTTCATCTTTCTGCACAGACAAATTATGATCATTGACCAGGTTTTGTTGGTTTTACCCTTCAACATTAAGTGCCAATCACATTGGTAAACATGATTTACTCCTAAAAAACAAATAATTTATATATTGTGATATGTTAAAAAAGTAAAAATTATATTGGTGTAAAAAAAAGGCTTCACTGCTCAAAACTTACTACCAGTAGGGCACTTCATTGTAGAATATCACACATATAACTTCCACAACAACAAAAAAAACTCAATAGAATCCCACAAAAAGAGGGTCCGAGGGTGAATGTACACACATTTTACCCCTACTTGGAAATAAAGGTTTTGCTTCTTAATGTTACAAAGAATATATTATAGCTTGATGAATTGCTGTTCAAAGGGCAGACAGGGTAATTTACATACTCAAGGGAGGAACACTACTGTTTTTTACCTCCTTGGGGGGGGGGGGGGGG